ATCTGACACTTCTACATTAATAGAAGACAGTGACTTGTGATAAAAATACACTTTTATGGAGTGCTCGGGCAGGAAGCATTAGAGGACCTGAGCAAGAAGTAAAAATACAATAAACTATATGAAAATTCAGCTCCAATGGACTCATTGCCACAAAACCAGAAACAAGTGAGCAGACGCCTTGGCAAGGACTCAAATAATTTTCTGTACAGCATTCATGAAAGCAGGCAAGGCTTGAAAGCTGTTGCAAAGTTATTTGGAATAGGGAAAATAGTAACCGAAGGGAGATGACACACTGGGACATTCTGCATTTTGTAAGTTAAAACAAAGAGACAGGATCAGAGCTGAAAAATCACCTGTGAGAGCTTCCACAACAGCACCAGGTCTACAGGGCAGCGGTCTCCCAGTAACAGACCAGAGAACAGCAGGCTGTCTTCATGCCACCCAGAAAACGCCTGCTGAAGCACAGGCCAGGGACTCTGCACCCCCAGCCATGATGGGGAGAAGATGAGAGATGAGGGGAGAAGGTGCCGGGCAGCACAGCTGGGATGAAGGGGTGGTTTTGCACTGCAAGCCTTGATCTTCCAGCTCACAGCCTGAAACGGAAAGCATGGCACCAGTGTGCTTCCACCTCTCCAGAGCACACTTATGAACAGAAAAGGGTCTTCTGCACCACATCCGCCTGGATATACCCTGCTGGAGTACACCGAGTAGCCAGGACAGAGGGTAAGGAAGCCATCCAGCACTAAACTGGAGAAATTTACTCTCACGAGTGTTCACAAGCACAGGAGATTCCATATGTGTTTTGCAGCCATACCCACTGATCAGAGTCCCAAGATCATATACTTCCCCTTGACTGTTAACACTGATGAAGCTTGAGCATCTGCCTCCTCACAGAGCCTTTTGCTCTGGGGCAGGAAATGCCTGCCCAGCCCTCAGGAGTCGGAGATGCTGGAAGAGGCGGTGGAGGCAGCTGTCTTCTGTGGTAGCAATAGCAGCACGATCTTAGACCTCGAGGGCTTTTACCCCTAGGGGGGAAAGTAAAGACTAAGCAAAATTATATGCTGGGGCTGCCTGTTTCTCCTCTTGGAAATTCAGCCGCCAGTCCCGCAGGGCAATGGGATAAATCACGTTCATTTCCACAGAGATTTTATCACCTCAGTCTTGGCATGGGAGAGGCATCTCCGCCCCGCTGTGAGCAAGTGAGAGCATTTTGCTGGCTTTTTTTTTTATGTAATCAGAACAAATTCCTCAGAGATGAGTCACAGGGTTTCAAGGGTGTCCAGAGAGATGTCAAGCAGGCCTCAAGTGTAAATCAGCGGCACACCTTGCCGAGAGGATGCATGCTTGCCGGCAGGTCTGTTCCCCCTGCGGACACGAGGCAAGGGAAGTGGCTTGATGGAAGTTCCCAGGGAGGCTCCCATGAGCCACACGCAAATGTGGCACCTCCAGACCCAGGACGCTGCTGGTGTTTACATTTCCTCTGTAAAGACAGTGATGGTTTCAGGGTGGAGCTGGAGTGCTTCCCTGCAGCTGCTCTCCAGGCTTAAACAACTGAAGATTTTCAGTTATTCAGGCTGGAGGAGCCCAGCAGTCAGGGAAAAGTTTTGAACTTCAGAAACAGAGGTTCTGCCTCACCAAAGCCTGGTCAAACTGCAGGGGTTCTTGCCTGGGATGTTCATCATGGTGGAACAGCTGCATCCCATGGCAGTTGTTTCAGCACTGTAAGACCCCACCTGCAGAGCTGTGTCCAGCTCTGGAGTCCTCAGCACAGGAAAGACATGGACCTGCTGGAGAGGGTCCAGAGGAGGGCCACAAAAATGATCAGAGGGATGGAACACCTCTCCTTATGAGGACAGGCTGGGAGAGTTGGGGTTGTTCAGCCTGGAGAAGAGAAGGCTCCGAGGAGACTTTATTGCAGCCTTCCAGTACTTAAAGGGGGCCTATAAGAAAGATGGGGACAGACTTTTTAGCAGGGCCTGCTGCAACAGGACAAGGGCTAATGGTTTTAAACTACAGGAAGGTAGATTTAGACTAGATACAAGGCAGAAATTTTTCACAATGAGGGTGGTGAAACACTGGCACAGGTTGCCCAAAGAGATGGTAAGATGCCCCATCCCCGGGAACATTCAAAGTCAGGTTGGACGGGGCTCTGAGCAACCTGGTCTAATTGAAGATGTTCCTCCTGGTTGCAGGGAGGTTGGACCAGATGATCTTCAAAGGTCCCTTCTAACCCACAGATTCAATGATTTGCCCCACTCTAGACTAGAAGCACCCTGCACACCCTGCTTGAAGACAGACCTGTGTGCGGTTTGCAAATCAGGAGGCTGGCCTGCGTTGGTACCTTGCACCAAACTTTGCCGTTGTGCATTCTTTGAGGGCAACTGCAGAAGACACAACCCAACTATTATGCTCTTTACCTTTCAACTTCACCCTCAGGTGACTGACAATTACCAGCTACCATTAATATTAAATGGGAGAGAAAGAAATGCAATCCTCTCTCTGCTCTTCACATTCCACAATATTGCAAACAATTTGTCATATTGGGAGGGGCAGAGGCAGGAGAAGCATTAATTATTGATACTTGGGAACAGATGGCTTTTCTTGCACCAGGGCAGTGAAATGTAAGAGGAGCCTGTGGGTGAGGATGTGAGGATGGGCAGGCACATATCAGATAACCAGCCTTCAAGTGGAACAGGAACCTTCTTCCTAGAACCAGCTCTGCTGGCCTACACAGCTCTCATCAACAGCACTGGCTGCAGAAACAAATCCACTGACATCTGAATTAGTGAGGCTTCACCAGAACCTTTCAACGCTCCCTCACTTCCATACAGAACATCCTGGACACAATGACTGACAGCTTCCAGACAGCAGAGGCCTGTCAAACCAGGCACTGACTGGTCTCTCTAGGATACCCTACTGGTTGCATTTCACATGTTCATCCCCATCTACTGCCCTGTGCCACTCAAGGTTTATTCCTAAGACCACAAACAGTGTCAAGAATGACTCCCTCCTGTCTTCCACTGGCTTCTGCATCTCACTCAGGGTGCTGTCCTCCAGAATCAAAGATCCAAGTAATCTGGACCAGCAACTTCAACCGGCGACTCTGTCATCCAACTCTTTTTGCCCACTTTTCCCATGATCTATGTAAGGATCAAGAGCAAGAAGACTTCATTCTTGTCAGCTCCCATGCAGGTGTCCTTGATGTCCTACCAGGTTGCAAAACAGGCCTGGCACAGGACACCTGCTGTGAGTGTCCCCATGTCCAAGAGTGGACCATGGGACTGACATCCTTACGAGACAGGAGGAACAACTGGGAAACAGGGATTCTCTACCAAAGGCAGCTGATTCATCAGAGTGGACACACTGCGACCACAGAGACAAACCTTTTCCTGCGACTATAATGAACAGCTGCACCCACTGCTGGAGCCTGGCACCTGCATCCATTTTCACTCTAGTGTAGTAATGTCTTTGCTGGAAGACTAAGGAACCAGCTGTACTGATTCAGACCTGGACTGGGGTAGCCAAGGGTCCTGTCCCAGGCAGTGGTGACAAGCAGATGCCCAGGGAAGAGTCAGAACCAGGCAAGCTGATGTGATACCTCATCTACTACTGCAAGAATGATATTTCTCAGCTATTTTCTGCTTGGGGATTTCACAAGCCAGACACCACCTCTGTACATACTGACTCAATTCAGTTCTCCTCTCTGGACGTACCTCTTAAATCCTGTAAATGGACACTCACTTTCCTAGCCCGGACAGATTAAATCCATGGTTATTCCATTGAGCAAGGCAAACCTTCTTGCTACTGCCACAAGCCCAGAAGGTACCTCAGGACCACAATGTCCAGTCCATTGATATACTGGGGATCTTCTCACAGTCTTTTTCCAAACTCAGTTGGTTCTCCTGGCCTCTGCTGAGAGGTTGTTCCAAAGCCTCATACTCTGATAATTAGAAACACTCTTCTCATTTCTCAAGCTGACTAATCACTGATTTCTAATTTCTCTCAGTTTGCCTAGGGTCATGCAGTCTATGAGAGTCTCAAGAGACATACAATCTTGTGATCTGGAAAAACACAACTTCCCAACTTCCCTCTTGGCCTGAATCAGTGCCAAAGTGCTTGAGGTGAACAAATGCCAAGTGCCAGGTGACAGCTACTGCCCATCAACAGCACAACAAGCATTGTCTCCCTCTGACCAGCTCTGCTTTTTAACTGCACCCCTTTTCACAACATGGAGTAGTATGGAGAAATTTCCCCTGCCTAGGAGCCAGTGAAGAGGGGGAAGCGATCTTAGAAAGACCTGGACCACATCTGTGCTGGGAAAGACTAAGCTCTACCAAAATTTGCTCTAGTTTGGCACAGGAAGCAGACAGACCTGAAAGAGCGTCTATACTGCTGCATTACACCAGCACAAGAGCTTTTGTTCCTCTAAAAATGCTGTTCATCTCACTGCGACAGTACCAGCAAATGTTTCTAAGGTACATCTGGCTTTAAAGAGCAGTCTCCACAGAGCCACGATGTGTTTACGCTAGCTAGCTGCTGCTGAACAGTCAGCTGAGAGCTAACCTGCACGGTCTAATCTCACCTTCCCCACATTTCACAGGGGTTGAGGAGGAGATCAACTAACAAAAGAACCCTATGGATTAGATCAATACAATGGATCAAAAAGCTGGAGCAGGTCATATCTTTTCAACACCAGAGCAGAATTGTTCCCTTTCACCCTACTCATGTTAACATTTATATGACTCTCTTCCCTGCTACTCTGAGAACAAGGAATCATATTATATCCACATTCCAGAGAACTTTTCCCAGCAGAAACAACTGTTTTTAACACACATTGCACTTGGAAGAATGTATAGAATTTTACGGGCAAATGCCTGGGTGGAGCTGTGTTGTGACCCATACAGGAAAGCTGTAAGTTGACATCACCATCCCAGTCAGGCTCTGGAGTTGGGGTGGTCGGCGGGCTTGGGAGGAAGATATGCTTGACAGCAGCTCCCTACCTCTTTGATGGCAGACATCTTGATGTTCTCATAGTAGTGCAGTGGTGCATTGGGTGAACTCATGTCATAGCCAAACCCAGCTACTGCCACCTCATCACAGTTGTGGAGCGCCATGGTTATTGCTACGCTTCCCAAGGTGGGGATGTTCTGAGAGGAGAGAAAGCAGGAATAGTAGTCATTAGCAGGTTGCCATTTCTATAATAAAAAATTTCCTCATATTGTCTCTGCTCACAGAGGCACTGCTGCTACTAAGCAGAAAATCAGGAACAGAGTATTTGGCTATATCTGCACACCAGCTGCCTAATGCCAGCTTGAAGCATCAATAGCCTCCCAACTTGTAAAGAAAATGTTAGCCAGCTTCCTGCAAAGCATCTAGCACAACAGCAGTGGCTCTCGTTTGAGGCTCTATGACCCGACTCTCCAGGGTGTTACTGCAGGGCAGAGGGATTAATGCGAATGGTCCGACTCCCCTTCTACAACTTTGCTATCCTGAGAATGGGGCAGCAGAGGAGCTGGAGGATGAATCACAGTGGATACATTAGTTTGCTGAAATAAAGACGGATGTAGACACTGGATTACAATTCTATGCACATTACTGGCTTCCAGCTAGGCGAAGGAGGAATACTTATCCCAAATGGGCCACCGTAAAGGAGCAGAAGTGAGGAACAGTACAAACTCTTTATTCTACTGATGGCAAAAACAGTTTAAGGTGGCCATTAAACAGCTCTGGGAGATGGACAGGAGATCAGACAGACCCAGTCAGCAGCACACAGAGACCCCTTCCTTTGCTCAGGGGCACCCCCACAGGCAAAGGGCACCCTGGCCTGTGCCATACCCTTCATAGTCACAGCATACTGGGAAGACAAGGAGCAGTGGGAAGCCAGTCAGAGATGGGTGCTAGCACTCTGAGCAGGGACACCCCAACTGTCCTCTCCCATCTGCTGACCTGCTATTTGCACCGAAGTCCAGCCTCAGCCCTTCCCATTTCATCTGGGTTCTGCCAATGTGCTGTACAGATGCAACTCCTTTTGTGCATTCAGATGAACATGACCGCTGTGATAGATCAGTGTTTCCAGTGTAAAAACCTTAGCTCACAGACTTTTCTAGCTCCCCTTTATCCAGATGAATCCAGAGGTAGCTTTACCCCAGGGGCTAGGGAGAGGCTGAGAAATCCACCCACATATCTTCATTTGTAGAGCATCCAACACCGCCGTACCTAAAGTATCATGAATTCAGAGGACATGCTCAGGCAGCCACCAAGGGTGACAGCCTTTTAGCTGAGATATAGAAACCAACTGCATGTTTATATTTTGCATTTAAAACGGTTTACCCTGAACCAGTAAGCAGTGCTATTGCATTTCTCCTGATGTTTGTAACAGACTGGGAACACAGTGTTTTGTGTTTCTGCCTCTCATTCAAAGGAATCGGCTTTTGGCAGCACAATTCTGATTGCCTGACCATGTCCCAGGACCAACATTTTCCAAGCAAAGAATGCCACCCCTACCCTAGCTGAGATGTGCAGAGCTGGGAGCACAACCTATGTGCTACAGAGAACTCCGTTACCATGCACTGGAATTACACTAACCTGAAGACAAGCGTGCAAAAACTGCTTATGTCTAAATCAGTGAGATGTTAAATTCAAACATTTGCAGTGCAACTGTAACACTGCACATCTGAAATGAAAGACCTTACTACATCCTCCTGTGACAGCTCTAGATGTTAGGAAAAATGGCAGAGTCATTTTGTTGTCACTGCTTAATTTCAGTTGATACTCACCATAAGCAATATTAGTTTTATTCTGGTTACTTTAGTTAATTGTTAATTGATTGGTAGCCATAAATACCAAGAAGGGGTTTAAAAAAAAATGGAAAAAGTTTATTAGGCAAAGATAAGAAAATTCCCCTGAATTTCAAAATATGCAAGAACATCCTGTCTTCCCAGGCATGGCAGTTCAAATTGAGATATTCTCAGCTTTATGTTTTACATAGACGACGTCACTGGAATTGCATCAGCTGGTAAGTGGACTTGCCACAAAACCCTTTCCCTCAGCTGAGCTGTAGTTACAGTGTCCAAAACATAGTGAGTGAATGGTTACGTCCTTGAGAACGTGTTGTTGGGAATACGATGGCGTTAATGCCACCCACACTCGCACTGGGCCCATTCCCACGGTACAGCTCAAGGGAGACACGGGGTCCATGCCTGGAGGGAATTTCACTGGCCAAGTTAACATTTAAGAGCTAACTTTCTAATGTGAGCCTTACAAACCACAGAGAATTAATCATACTATCCAAACTTATGGGAGGACTGCCAAACCACCATAACTTTCTTTCAAGTACATTCTTATTTCTGTTTGGAGAGTAAAAGATTACAGAAATCAAAAGTGAACTTTCCTTTGGTCACCAAATATCTGCCTGACTATATTCTACGTATAACACCTCCCATGGCCTTTATAGAAAAATAGGAGATAATATTCTCGTCTACTTCTGTTCTTCAGTAGTTCCTGACATACCGCTACTTTGGTACTGCCTGCTCCTCTCTCAAAAAAGATTAAAATACACAAGACTTCCTACCCTTTCAGACTGTAGTAGGTGTATCTGGTTTGGCCCCTACAACTACCAGAAATTCATATGGTGTCCTTAGCAAAACAGTTTTGTGCTGCTCTAAAATCACATTTGGAAACCAATAAACTGATGGCAGTTTTTAATTAAATTATGCCTTATTTATGTTAGCACCCTCCAATACTACTCCTACAGCCTAGTGCGTGTGTCTCCCTTGAAGACAGGAGGTCTGCAGCCATTCACACCTTTACAGCTGAGATGCAGCTTCATGTCCCACTGCTGCAGTTGGAACCCTGTGGGCTAGAGAGGACTACCCAGAAAATACTGTAAAAATTATCACCCCTGCTAATCACTGAGGGCAGTAACTGTTAGAGCAGCACAGGGGTGATTGCAGGGCCCATCATTAGTAAACAGTGTGGATAACAGCACCTGCTAAGAGAAGAATATGAGTACAAACTCTGTGTGTGCACTCACATGTGTCTGGATCAAATACACGTAACTGGGCATTTACTCAAAACTGTTTATGTTAAAGAAGAAGCAACCATCAGACAGATTAAACAATAACTGGGGAATTAAAGAGACTTGAAAAAAAAGGAGCCAGCTTGAACAGAAGTATAAAAGAAGCACAATTGCCGGTAACCTACATGTCATTAGTAAGTCAATACAGTGCTTTGGTCCTGATTTGGTTTAAACTATAGAAACTGAGCAGTTTTCTCCCGTAACAGCTTGCTGAGCTTCTGCTACTCCTTCCCTCGGTTGAAAATGAAGCACTGCCTCATGTCCAGCTTGCAGCACAGGAAAGGGAAGGCCCTGCAGGATGTAGGAATGTGTCCCAGGAAGTGCTGCAGAGAAGCCAACCCAGCAGTGTTCTCCAGGTACAGAGGAAAGGTCTCTTCTCTCAGCAGAGAAGTGGCAAATGAGAGGAGACATGTATCAGAGAGAGGAAGCGGTTATAATTATTCTCTGTCTGCATCTACACAGCTTCCAAGCTCTCCCAATTGTACACAGGCATATAAATTTGTTTGCCTCTAAGCTCTAACCTGGACCTAATGAACCATGTACAACCTTTGGGGCAAGTTGGGGGACAGGTCACTCCAAAAGCAGTTAGGCATCATGGACACGGCTGCGCCAAACCTGGCTTGCTATGCCCTGCACAATGCGTCAGTGCTATCTCAGCACACACACCCTTGTGCCGTGCCCCAAAGACATACCAAAGCAACCACCACACCTCTTGCGTTATGAAAATAAAACTCACTCAAACAACTGAGCTGGCTTCTTGTTATTCTAGGCTATTGCTAAGGAAAAAAACCAAAATCCCAACATCCTTCCCTGGGAATAGTCATCTGGGGTTGGACCTGCTCAAAGCCGGTCTTCCTGCTCATGGCCCTTTATGTGCCTGGGTATTTCTGTACCACTAAGCAATGCTGCTTTCAACCCAATGGTTGAAGAACAACAGCCCAACAGTGGCTAGTGCCAAGGCAGGAGTCTCCTGGGATGCCTCCTAGCCTCACAAAGACTGGCCAGTGCAGGCTAGGTCACGGCATGGGACTGCCTGGAGTGGCCCAGCTGGACTGCTGCTCCAGATGTGGCCATGATGCGTTTCTGATGATGAGTCCCCACCCATTAGGAGGAGCTGGGAATGGCAAGACCCCAGAAAGCACTGGCAGTCCTCTCCCCCTGCCAATTCCCTGCAACAAGCCTTGAACTTGTCCTTGCAAGCTCTGTACGCCCTGTTGTGTCTCAGGTTTCTGTCCCAGCTGGGGCCCATGGTGGGTACCATGTTCAGCATCCCCTCTCCAGCACTGGTAGATAACTGCAAGGGCAACCTTCCTGGATAACGGGGCCTGAATTGACAGTCCACATTTCCAAGCCTGGCCTGCTTGTCTAAGCCCAAACATCTGGAAAATGTATTATCTAATAAAATACTCCCTAGGGATCAGCCCTTTGCCTGGTCCCATTTGAGAGAACGCAGCATACTGACAGATGAGCCAGATGCAACACCAAAAGGCCATCTGACAAACAGAAGCAGCAAACACAGCCATGCTGAGTGACACATCACCACAGCAGTGCTGGGCAAAGGCTGCCTGTGCATCCAGAGTGTGGCTCCTTCCAGGGGCCCGCTGGCACATGTCCTCCATGGGTGAGGTGAGCACATGCATGGTGGATCCTGGGTGAGAAAAGCATAAAAGCAAGTGAGGCAAAGATTTCTGGTCTTGTGCTGCATCAGGGATCACTGCAAGCTCTGTGTGGTGCAAACACAACCAGTCTGCACCACTGGGTCAGGGGACCAGAACCTTTAGCAGTACAGACAGACATAGGACAGGTTCTCCTAACTGCTCCTACACTGTTCTCTGCTGCAAGAGGAAAGATAAAAGGCTTTGCCTCAAAACGTTGGTATTTCATCTTCCATTGGTCCCCCTGAAGAGGCTTTAAAGACTGACTTCTACTCACATAAGAAAAGAAGCCTGTCAGCAGAAATGAACACCAGCCCTCCTTTGGACTTAATGGAGGCTGAGCATCACCTCATGGGCTTGCACCGGAGACCCAATGCTGGCAACTGAACCAGGGGACCGTAACTGCTCTTTGCTT